ACGGGCTCTGCCGCGGGCGACAACGGAATTCATCTATACAATACCATTCGTGCTGTCCTAAATATACATCTATTGAGGTAACATCACAAAAGCATTGGAGAAAATGTACAATTTAATTTACAAGACAAATGACATGCAAGTAAAGAAAGTCCGCAAAGAATACTCGTAATCAAACGTATGTGAGTGGAACAAGAAAGGTGTATTACATTAAAAAGTAAATATAAACAGCCGTATTCCGTTTATTCCTTGCCAGATACATGTCTAGTTTTAATTTTTACAAAGATCATATGCCAACATGCATTAGGTCATGGATAAGGTCTTTTGGAGCCAATGGACTTGAGGACGGAATAGCAGACTATAGTTATTTTTTGTGCTTAGTATGTATGGATTTTTTTTTGTACTACTCTGTACAAATATAGGCCTTGAATACGCGGTAACTGATTGCATTTACAGTCGTATCAAGTAAAAAAAAATGTTTTACAGCAAGGTGAAGATTAACATATTGTCGTAACATACGTGATTTTGTTACAAATGTTTTTTTTTTTAAGAGATACGTCGTATATTTTGAATAACCTCAAACTACTTGGCCGATTTCAAACATTCTTTTTTTCATACAAAGCTACGTTATCATTGAGTAACATAAGCTAATTTTTTTTTGTTCTAAGGCTAGTATAATGTGTAAAGTCACCTCAAGTCAAAAATTATGTTTTTATGGAAGTTGCTCACATTATTATTGCAATTATTAAAGCTAGCTAAAGTAAACGTAGTTAAAGGAATAACCCATCGTGAGCTGTAAATTGATCAAATGGTACAAGTTTAATGAAGATATACTGACCTATGAATCCATACCCATCAACCAATTACCAAACAAAGCTTGGCCAATCCATTGAGACGTTCACATCGCTCCAATTATATATCAAAAAAACATTAATATCAATTGAAACTTACGATGTTGCAAGTATAGAAAGTAGCAAAGATCAAAGCAACACCAATACAGATGTCGACGACCTTAAACCAACCAGTTTTAATTGTTATAACATATATAACCTTATATTGTTCTAAATGTGAAATAATAACTGCGTTTTATAAATAAAACGTGTTATATACAAATATGAAAGCAAGCTAAAGATTATTTGTTAAAGTAAGAGCTCTGTTTTTTCTATTTGTAGCTGGCAACTAACACAACTGTCAATTTGTTCCATATCAAGTAAGTTGCAGATTATAAAATGAAAACTTGTTTAAACATCCTCATTATTTAACAGATAATTGATTAAAGGTTAATCGAAATTTAAAATCATACTAATATTATAAATGCGAAAGTTTAGATGGATGGATGTTTGTTAGAGTTTGTAGCCTAAACCGCTAAACGGATCTCAATGAAATTTGGCATAGATGTAGAGTATATACTTTGTGTTTTTTTTTTTATTTCACTCGGACGGAGTCGTGGGCGAATAATACTGGAAGCTTGAAGTAAATGGCGCCAGTGGTGATGATTCTGTGTTAGTTATTTAACTGGTAATTTTGTAAATTTATCGAAAGTAAATTTTTAATGGTAGTGTATGCTATTTATCTCAGACGTTGTGCGGCATCTTTAGTTAGCAAAAGGCAATTTTTCCCTATTGGTTTGTCATAACCCGTGTCATTTACCATAAGAATATAATATGCCGTATTTTCTATTCCCTCCATAACTAGAGTATATGATAAGATAGTTTATCGGCTTTTTATCAATACTATTTCAAACGAACTTTTCAATTAGCGTACAAATGAGAAATATTGCGAGAAACAAGATACGTTATTTGATAAATTTAATTGTGGCTTTTTGATAAAATTAAGGCGTTCTGTAATAGATAATTGTTACTTATGATAAAATGCTATTCGCTTATTACTAAATAAGCTTTCGCCCCCGAATTCGTCCGCGCGGAATTAAAAAAAACAAAAGCAAGTAGTCTATGTGTTCTTACAAACTATCCCCTACATCTATAACAAATTTCATCGGGATCCGTACAGCCGCTTAAGCTACAAACTCTACAAACATCCATCCATCCATCTAAACTTTCGCATTTATAATATTAGTAAGAAAGTAAGCTACTGCTGCTCCACTAGCTGAGAAATGATTTCACGTGGAAGTTTTTTTATCTAGGTACATAGATTTAGGAACAGAAAATTAAACTATGCAGGCATACTTTGTAATTTGAATTATAAATCTTCAATTTTACTATTACATTTATTAGGACCATTGAAAGTTTTGTAAGAACTTCAGGTCAATGAATTAGGTCTCGTTTGAGGGAGCTTTCAAAGTGTGGACAGCTGCCAGATGCAGCAACGCTCTAGATAAGCTGAATTGGCGCCAAACTTGACAGTTGCGCAAGATGGCGGCGCACGATGCATTAACCGGCCAGTGTTAGCCAATGTTAGACGTGCAAAACAAAACAAAAAGACGTTATTTTAAATTAATATTCCGTAGATACGGAGGCCATTTTCTTTCAATCTAATTGAAGGACAATATTTGTCTTTTGTGTAGTGAGATAAAACTTGTTTGTTGTTTAATTTCCAAGTTTTTTTTATAAATAAATCGTTTCTCTACAAAATAAATAATTCGTCTTTTTGTCAAAGTAATAAATACAATGATTCTATGTAAATTTAAAAGCAAAAACATAAGAATTTCCCGTACACTTAATTACACAAAAACAAGTAAGTAAAAACAACAAATCCAAGGCAAACAGCAACGCATTAAGTTCACAAATGGGTATGGAATCAGTTTGTTAGCTTAGAAAGTGGACACCAACACTGAGCTAGTCGTAATCAAGTTTTCTATGAAAGTTCAATGTTTAGTAGATGCAAATCCTATCACTAGGTATGATCTAAGTTATCTGTCTTTCTTTTAAACTGCTATTTGGTTATTGAAGAGTTTTGTATCTGTACAACTTTCGATAATATAGAAATCAGCGTTTGTATGTTTTTCATATAAAAGTTGCTAGACTTTAACAATGTTTCTTTATTAAAAGGAAACGCTTAAAATTTAAATTACATTGAAACTGTCGGATTGTAAGCGGCGCTAACGAAGCGCTTTATTTAAGACTACATTTTGGTCGCGACAAATATTAAAAAAAATGGCCTATGTTACTAAGTGATGACGTAGCTTTTTAATTTTTGAAACTGGTACAGCAGTTTGTAAGTTATCAACACAAACAAATTTTCCTCTTTATAATACTGGTCAAATATGAATTCGTTTCAGTATACAGTCCTAACAGTTTGTTTAATTAAAATATTGTAAGACTTTTGACTTTATTTCGACTATCGACTTCCGTTTCATTTAGTATTATAAGTTGTAATAGAAGTTCATTCATTGTTACTAAACAAAAGTGAAAAGAGACTTTGAATAGTGTTCATTGAAAAGATGTCTACAAAACGTAGTGTCGATTGAAATTATGTTGAATGTGTTGGCGGCGCATTTCCTGTCACTAACGTGTCGAGATACCCTACTCCAGGGGTAGTCAACTACTGACACGCGTGCCATAAATGGCCCACGACATAATGTTTTGGGCACGTCTCTGATCGTAAAAACACTACGAAAAAGTATGAGGTAGGTGCACTATGGAATTTTCATAATAATTTCAGTCATGATTATTCTATGGCTCGTTTAAAATAGCATTAAACATTTCTTTAAAAAAAAATGACACTGATGCAAAAATGTTCACTATCCCTGTCCTACTCCGTGTCCGTGTTTCCACTAGCGACATATATGTACAAAATATGTTTTCTCTTTTGTTTTCAATCAGAAAGATAAGGATGGCAATACATTTTAGTGTGGGAAACCTATAGTGAGTTAGTTAGTAAATGTCAAGAAAGCTTTTATAATTGGTAATAACATAACATTTATACAATCTACTTACTTTGTTAAAGCGGTTTCTTTGGCGTTTCGCATTTTTACCTCTAGTGTACTAATCAAACTTTTTATAATGTTTAGTTTTAAATTTATAACCTGTTTACATCGCTATTTATTGCATAGTAACAAAGCAACAATACTTGATAATATGACATTCAAGTAATGAACCCCATCTGATCTTTAAAGTTCAAATGATATTCCATTAATTACGATGACTCGCTATTAAGTTGTTATTTTCTAATTCATCGCTGAATAAAACATTTTGGAAATCATTAAAAACCATCTGTCATGATATTAGGAGAATATGTCTAATTAAAATTTCGTTGAAATATGAAAATGATGTCAAATCCAATAAGAACTTATTTAATTTATGTATAGAAAAGATAAGTTGTAAAATATTAACTAAAATGCACCATTTTCAAAAGCAGCATTTATTTTTTTTAAATATGATATTATATGAAGTATATAGCCTACTTGCTTTTGCGCGCGACTTTGTCCGCACACTTTTAAAAAGAAATTTAGTAGTCTCGGTGATGATCAACACCTATGAAAAGTTTTAGAGATATCCATCTGTTATTCTAACATAGCAATATATTATTAAAAGAATTTTAATAATAGTTTTAAAGCTTTACTGTTACAAACATACAAACATTTTCTCTTTATTATATTAGTTTGTACAAAAAATCCGTTAACGATTCTTGTCTGTTCTTGGAATGTATGTTTAAAATGAAAGTAGTAGAAGTTTTTTTTTGTAAAAAATTTTGAAAGTCAATAAATATTTATTACTCGCTCGTTTGTTTCACTTTCATTGTTCTAAAGTATACAAATGTTTTTCAGTCCCCATTAGTTAGGAATTTTAGTCGGCGACTTTAGTGTTTTGGATGAAAAGCTTATAAAATGTATAATCTATCTGTGAGAATTTATGGTACGCATTATTTAGTTAAAATTGTGATATAATGGTTATAGTATAATCTATGGTTTTTATGTATTAGGGTTAACTAATACTTGTACATAAAGATATCTCGAGTAGACAATTCTAGATTGCCCTACAATTGCAAGAAATTGGACTTTAAAATACATTTGACAAATGCGTTGTTAAATTATTTCAACTTACTCGAATTCCACAGCTCGTCTCCGCTTCGGACTGAAACAAAAAAAATCATTTTAATCCACACATTAATATTAAAATAAGCTCAGATTAAATATTTTGTATTATCTTGTGTTGTAAAATTAATTGGAATTGAATGTAGCAATTCCTACATCCCTCTTTCTCTCTCTTACTCCAATTAAATTGTATCTTTGTTCTCTGTCGCGTAACGAAATTTACGTCCAGTACTATCGAATAAGCTTCACTTGACTTAAAAATAGGTTTTAAAATATTACTTTTTATAATAATAATTTTCTAGGGTATTGTATATGTAATAATAATTAACTGAATCCATACGATCACCAGGTAATTATATCCATCCAGTATCGATGTCATAAAAACTAAATGTTCCATTTGTGCACTGCAGCATTAATTAATTTGTCATGACGTACTGAAACTTAATATTACGATAATAATGGGCGTATAAAAACATGAAAACACAATGTCCAATTCAAATTGAACTTTACACAGTAGGGTTAAGATTGAAATTTGAATGTAACGTTCGAAATTAGTTGTACAGTCACCGTCAAAATTAGTATTCAATGTTCTATGTTAGTTAATTATTCATTGAAACAGTAAATAGCGCTTAGTTCTAGAAACAATCGTGGATTAGACAATCTTTCCTAAGTATTATTGTTGGAAACAGTTAATCACTTTTGCAGGAAATTTACTAAGTATCAGATGAGTATGGATGTTCTTTTTATGAAAATCATTTTAAGAAACTTTTATAACATTCAGATAATTTTTCAGGAATGTAATTTATTAATTCTACTTCCGTTAATTAACCAAAACTTGTGTTAATGCGTAATTATTGTAGAGTTGATAATTTAGTCTTACTTTTATCAAAGTTTTAAATATCAATAAAAAAAAAATAAGTAATTTAATTCCGATAGTCCTCATGGGCTAATAGCGAAGAGCTTTGAAATCTCAAGATGCTCTCGGTAGACAGTTGGATTAAGGGCCCGATTCAAAAGGAGGTTACTTTAGAAACCGCACGCATTGTGAGGTGGTTCCTGTCTCTGCAGCCCTGACCACTGGTTGCTTGAGTCATCGGATTCCGCAGCCGGTGGTGTTCGATTTTTATATAATGTGTTTAACTTTACTTTTATACAAATCATGTAAAGTATTTTTTTTAAGTTTTAAAGAAGCGCTTGACCACGGTCCCACAGATTGAGAGTGAAGATGTGGTCGAAAGATGGATGGGTGGAAAGATAAGACAAAATAAGAAATATAGATATTTGAGATAATTAAATAATACAATACTTATGTAACTGTCGCTGACTGTACTACAGCCTTTCTAAAGCAAGACGTGCAGTGATAAGACAGGTCAGTCAATACATTCGCCGACACAATTGCTTAACTCGAACACTGCACATTTTGAGGACAAATTAGAGTGTTCGAATAAAAATTATATCGCAATCTTTTTTGTATTACTTAATATCGATATTGCAGTTTTAAAGATAAACATATTACGTATATTGTGAAGATTTACGAAATTAGGGTAATAATAGAGGTCAGGTCATCGATAGTTCTGCAACGCTCAATATAACAGTTTACAGGGTTGGCATTTATTATTACAAGAAGGGTTAAGCGAGCGAGTGTACCGAAGTTGCTATTCGACGTCCTTGGATATCTGTAACAGCAGAGGAACTGCAGATGCGTTGGTCTTTGAGAATCAGATCGGCACGCCTCTTCCAGGACTCAAAGACCTTTTGCTTTGGGACTACAGCTTTGTAATTTCTATCGCAATTTCTTTGAGAAGTAGGCATAAAATCGCTATAGCATTTCAAGATTTTCCTAATTAATTAATTAGTGTTTTCAGTCACAAAAGAAGTCTCCTAATTTCTTTAATGTTGCTGCGCGTTTCAAGTTTCTCTGGTTTTTCCTATAAAGTATATATCTATACTATTATAATAAAGTGTAAATACACACTTCTTTGTTGCATAAGATATTAGCAATTACAGCATGTTTGTGAATAATTCTTTTGGTAATAATAAGCCTACACTTACGTCACGCTTTAGGCTATATATTTTCACGCCATTAAACTTCGGGGATAAATATTTTAGATGAATTTACTAATGTGGGAAAGAGACCATGAGTTGCTGCCAACATCAAAAAAGCAAAATTGCCATAGTAAGGTAATTGGTATTTTGACATTTGCAATTGATTAATATAATACACACATATAATAAAATAAAATTTTCATAATTTTATGCGGATGAAGTCGCAGGGGAACAGCTAGTAATATATATTAATAATAAGAATAACGTTATATTTAATAACATGTCTTAGACACAAAGACATACAATCTCATATTAAACACTAAGATAACGTGAAACTGTAGTGTAGGTAACCGTAAATTACCTATCCGTGTTATACCTTACTTTTGTATGCATAATTTGTGTCAGTCGGATTAAACATCTTGAGCTTCACGCACGACTTTTATTTCGGACACCACATTGGCGACGAGGATAAAAATCAGTGCGGTTTTGTATTGTGCGGAGTGCAGAATACCGACTCGAGTGTTTCGACGCAGTGTAAACGTTGTTATAAACAATGTTTATGGCAAGTACGCTTGCGGTTAACGCGCGGAGCGGCGCGGTCGGCCATTGTTGCGGAACGGCAACAGCGCACGGCGGAGCGGCCAGTGCGGCGATTTG